AAACAAAATCACGGTACGTTACCGCTTTCCTATTCCTCGCCTTGATGACTTGCTTGATCAGTTGTATGGGGCTTCGATCTTTACTAAATTAGATCTCCGGAGCGGTTATCACCAAATACGTATACGCCCGGGCGACGAGTGGAAAACCGCTTTCAAGATTCGTGAGGGCCTTTTTGAGTGGTTGGTCATGCCGTTTGGATTGTCGAATGCTCCCAGCACCTTTATGCGTGTTATGAATCAGGCCCTTCGCGAGCTCATCGGCAAGTGTGTCGTCGTTTATTTCGACGACATTCTTATTTACAGTCGCTCTCTTGAGGAGCATTTGGGCCATGTTCGGGAGGTTCTGCTTATCCTTCAGGCCGAGTCGTTCTTTGCCGCCCCGAAGAAGTGTTTCTTTCTTGTTGATTCGGTTCTGTTCCTCGGGTTCGTGGTTTCTTCATTGGGGATCCGGGTCGACGATAACAAGGTTGCAGCGATTCGTGATTGGCCTACTCCGACTTCTTTTACTGAGGCTCGCAGCTTCCATGGGTTGGCTTCTTTTTACCGTCGGTTTATCTCTCATTTTAGCACGATCACAGCCCCCATCACCGATTGCCTTACCGGGAAGACCTTTGTGTGGACTACTCAGGCAGCTGAGGCTTTCGCTCTTATCAAACAGAAACTCACATCAGCCCCTGTGTTGGTTTTACCGTATTTTTCCCGGCCATTTGAGCTTGCTTGCGATGCGTCTAAGGTCGGGATTGGCGCTGTTTTGAGTCAGGAGGGACGGCCGGTTGCTTATTTTAGTGAGAAGTTGTCAGGTCCTCGCCTTCGATACAGCACTTACGATGTCGAGTTCTATGCGGTGTATCGTGCTGTGCAGTATTGGCACCATTACCTCTTTCAGCGAGAGTTTATTCTTTTTACCGACCATGAGGCATTACGACATCTTGGCTCTCAGGGCGGGATTTCTGCCCGCCATGCTACTTGGTCCTCCTATTTACAGCAGTTTACTTTTGTGTTGAAGCATCGCTCGGGTACTTCCAATCGAGTGGCGGATGCTTTGAGTCGACGTTCCCTGGTCCTGACTGACATGCGTGTGACGGTTGTGGGATTTGATTTGTTGCGAGACCTTTATGCGACGGATCCCTTTTTCGAGTCTATTATGTCACGTCTTGCTACGGGCCCGTACGAGGACTATATTCTTTCCGATGGTTTCCTTTTTCGTGGCGTTCGCCTTTGTCTTCCGGATTGCAGTCTACACCTTTGCTTAATTGCTGAAATTCACGGCGTAGGCCATGTCGGACGGGATCGGTCCGTTGACCTTGTTCGGCGGTCTTACTTTTGGCCGTCCTTGCGGCGTGATGTCTCCCGTTTTGTCGAGCGTTGACGTATTTGTCAAACTTCCAAGGGGGTGGCGTCTAATGCCGGGCTCTACCGCCCGTTGCCCATTCCTTCGCAACCTTGGAGTGCGGTGAGCATGGATTTTGTTTTGGGCTTGCCCCGCACTCAGCGGGGCCACGATTCCATTTTTGTCGTTGTTGACCGATTCTCCAAGATGGTCCATTTTATTCCCTGCAAGCGGACTACGGATGCTCTACATGTCGCCCAACTTTTCTTTCGTGAGGTATATCGTTTGCATGGTCTTCCCTCGTCTATTGTCTCTGATCGCGATACGCGTTTTCTTAGCTTCTTCTGGCGGAGTTTGTGGCGCTTGGCGAATACGAGGCTCGACTTCAGTAGTGCTTATCACCCGCAGACGGACGGTCAAACAGAGGTTGTCAATCGTTCTTTGGGGAATTTGCTGAGGTGCTTGGTGGGTGAGAATTTGCGTAGCTGGGATACGCGTTTGAGTCAGGCCGAGTTCGCCCACAACTCGACTGTGAGCCGGGCTACTCGATTTTCGCCGTTCGAAGTCGTATATGCCGTCAGGCCGCGGGGACCGGCTGAACTTTTGGCCTTGCCACAGACGGAGCAGGTGGACCGGCGAGCGGAGGATTTTATGGCGGATTTGCGCCGCACGCATGAGACGACGAAGGCCAACCTCGAGG